TTTGGGGTGAACTAGCGTTTTAAAGCAAATTAATATTTGCTGAAAATTTTGTCTTGGCCATCCAAGAGAAGGTTTTTTTTTTTTTTTCCCTTCATTGGAACAGATTTGGAGAAAATTAGCATTACATTACACTTGCTATATTGCATTTGTTTACTAATGGATCCACTGCAGTGAATGGGTGCCGTCAGAAGGAGAGTCCAAACAGCTGATCAGAACATCACAATAATCCACAAGTAATCCACACCACTCCAGTTCATCACTTAACATCTTGTGAAGTGAGAAACTGCATGTTTGTATCAAGACGTTTTTTTTTTTTTTTACTTCAAACCTTTGTTTCCAGCTACAGTAAATTCCAAGTCCTCTATCCACAATATTACATTCTCGAGTGAAAAATTCATCTTGCCTGAATAAGGAGAGAAATATGCACAGATCAAGCACCATTTACAAGGGAAGACAAGTCTAAAACAGTTCTAAACAAATAAGTTGGTGGATTTTGTAGTGAGAGGACAACAGGGGAAAAACCTTTTTTCTGGTGGAACTCAATTATGGATTATGGACTCGTATTTTGGCCAGAAGCGATTGTTTAAAGTTAAAATGCCTTAATGATGGGTTTGTTTTCTTAATAATTATGCAGCTTTTTGCTGACATTAATTGATGAACTGGAGTCATGTGGTTTACTTGTGGATTATTGTGATGTTTTTATCAGCTGTTTGGTGTCTCATTTTGATGGCACCCATTTACTGCAGAGGATCCATTGTTGAGAAAATGATCAAACGTTCATTTTTCTTTATATTTAAAGATTACTTAAGTACATACAGTACATATGCAACATTTAATGTATTCAATTTTAGATCAAATTACCTAAAATTCAGTCTTTTGCTCATTGCATGCGATGACCTTATGACTTAGGACAGATTTGCAGTGCATAGCGACAGACGGGCCCTTTTACTTCGGGAGCCTTGGCCCTATTGCACCCTCGTCTTGAGCTATAGCTCTGGTTTGCCAGTTTATGTGCTTATGTTGAGGAGATTCCTCATCACTTCAACTCTGTCTCATAAGCCTGCGAGTTGTGTTGGAGGCTCTTTAGCTCCCCTCTCATGTCATTTCCACTCTGGTATAATGGCTATAGTGGCACAGTTGGCACGCAGGAAGAGCGAGACTTGTGAGCTCGGTGGCTGGGGGAGATCCTCCTCGCGGTGGCTGTGAAGCAGCCTTTGATGTGGATGTAGCCAGCAGAGTGAGCTTCTTGGCCAGAGAGACTGGATGGAGGTTGCCCTCTGATCTCTGTCACTTCAAAGCAGGTGTTCCTTCTTTCTCAGTTCCCCATCCTTTCATCCTTTTACTCCCTTTACCATTCCTCTCACTTACTGCCCACTCTCTCTCATCGGCTCAGCCAAGGTTCCCACACAGTGGCGACAATGACTTCACAACTGATGGACGTTTCTGAGACCTTTTTTCAGATGTTCACATAATGCTTATCTGTCATTTCTCTCTCTGCCTCTCCCAAATGTTATTTTTTTTTCCAGATTCTCACACACACACACACACACACACACACACACACACACATTAAAAACCTCCTCCTCTCCTTTTTGTTAGAATTATCATTTGACATTTATTTTGTTGCTGTTCTTGATATTACAGGAATTCAGATGTTTCTCTCTCTGCCTCTCCCAAATGTTTTTTTTTTTTCCAGATTCTCACACACACACACACACACACACACACATTAAAAACCTCCTCCTCTCCTTTTTGTTAGAATTATCATTTGACATTTATTTTGTTGCTGTTCTTGATATTACAGGAATTCAGATGAGATGTTTAGTCACACGTATCTGGCTGTTTTTGAAACAATATTGCAAATCACAGTGTGGCAATAACAATTATGAGAACACAAACATTTATGTGACATTAAAATAGTGTGTATTGTACAGGGAATTGGACTGAATAGAAAAGTTTGTCATGGTGAAATGCATGTATTGTATATCTCACAAATGTCACCTTAAAAATACACCAACTTAAAGGTATAGTTCATCCAAATCTGATCTGCTATAACAATTTGAAAGACATATTTTTATGCGTATAATACAAACAGACCAAACAGTCCAAAAGCAGACTAAAATTCCCATTTAATGTTTAGGCATGTAAGAACTTATTTGTTTGCATATACACTACCATTTAAAAGATTTGGGGTCAGGAAGAATTGATTATTTTATTTTATTTTATTATTCAGCAGTGATATATTAAATAAAATAATAATAATTAAAAAAAAAAACGTTTACATTATAAAAAGCACCTTTCTACTCCTCAATGAATCCTAAAATGCTTTATGGTTTCCACAAAAATATTAAGTAGCACAACAACATAATAATAATAATCATCATCATCATTATAATAATATTAAATGTTACTTACTTGTTTTCTGAAAGATCACTGATGACTTGAGTAATGGCTGCTAAAAATTCAGCTTTTCCATCACTGGAATAAATTAAATTTAAAAATATATTAAAATGTAAAATAGATATTTTAAATTGTAATAATATTTCGCAATATTACTGTTTTACTGTATTTGTTATCAATAAATGCAGCCTTGGTGAGCATAAAATATTTTTTCAAATGAATTGTGTAATGCATTAAAGTACTGTTATTTTATTTTATTTTTTTATCAATAAATACAGCCTTGGTGAGCATAAAATATTTTTTTCAAATTAATTGTGTAATGCATTAAAGCACTATTTAAGTAATGCATTATTTTATTTTTATTTTTTTGCATTCAAGTATGCAGACCTTTTCTATAGAATATCTATCTGCAATTGTTTTGTTGCATCCCACTTATAGTAAATACTGTATACCTCATTTTCCCCTTTTATTGGCTTTATTTTCTTAACCTCTTCTTGTCACAATCCTCATAGATTTTCCATTGTTCTGTTATTATGTTTTATTTATGTGTGTGCGTGGATGAGAAGCCACTCCACATGGGTGGGGAGGTTAAAGCAGGTAAAGAAGCAGATCAAAAGGCTGCAGTGCCCTTCACTCTTATTTTATTGGACTGTTCTGTGTCCTTCGTGTGTCAGCACTGGCCTCAGATCAGCGCTGCAGACCAAGACGGGCAGAGACAGGTCATTTGAGATCAAACTTACAGTTCAGACCCTGGTGACGTGACCGGGAAGCCTTAGGCACAGTGAGTGAAATGAGTAATTGTGATAGATAGCTAGATAGAGAGAGAGAGAGAGAGAGAGAGAGAGAGAGAGAGAGAGAGAGAGAGAGAGAGAGAAATTGTGAGGTAATTGCTGCAGACCAAGACGGGCAGAGACAGGTCATTTGAGATCAAACTTACAGTTCAGACCCTGGTGACGTGACCGGGAAGCCTTAGGCACAGTGAGTGAAATGAGTAATTGTGATAGATAGCTAGATAGAGAGAGAGAGAGAGAGAGAGAGAGAGAGAGAGAGAGAGAGAGAGAGAGAGAGAGTAATTGTGAGGTAATTGTGCAGACAGTGGGAAGTGCTTAGCAACGTTTTCAAGTAGAGCGACTGGCTGGTCTCTTACCAAGTTACGTAAAAGCTGATTCATTCGTTTTGGTCAGTTGCTTACAGAATCGTTCACATTCTATTGCACAGATGGACTGCAACTGCTGATGGGGACAAGTCACAGATTTAAGGAATATCACACAAGCAAGAGTGCTATTATACTGAATATCAGTTGGAACATTACAAAGTAAATATAAAAATAAATTTGTTTCATATCTCATTGACATTTTTTTAAAAGCATTATCTTTAATTTATGCTTAGAACAATCTGTCAAATTATTAAGAAACACACACTCACACCTATATGTTTGTTTGTTTATTTATTGTTTATGAAAGAATTCGCTTATGCTCAGAAAGGCTCTATGCATTTGATCAGACATACAGTACAAACAATATTATTACAATTTAAAATAACTTTTCTATTTGATTATAGTTTAAAATGTAATTAATTCCTGTGATGGCAAAGCTGAATTTTCAGCTGACATTAATACAGTCTTCGGTGTTAATGATTGTTATTATTAACGATTGAAAACAGTTTTTGCTGCCTAATATGTTTGTGGTAACTTACACATTTTTTAAGGATTCTTTTATTTTACACTATTATTATTATTATTATTATTATTATAAATGTGTAACATTTGTCTTTATAATCACTTTTGGTCAATTGAATGTATCCTTGCCAAATGAATATTAAGCAGCAAAGACTGTTTAGTGTAGTGTAGCGTAGCGTAGCTACCACACAAGATGAAAATGTAAGTTTGATGTTGGATAACAAGCACTGAATACTAACCCATGTCTAGTGACAAGGAATAATGCCTCCCTAACTCTCATTTACTTAAAGGCTTCTTGTTTGCGCTCTGAATAAAGAACATTTCAGATTAAAGTGATGAGCTATGGCCTTTTATGGATTGCCTAGTTGGGTGATTAATGAACCACTTCACTTCCAAACTTAGGCTTGCTCTTAATTAAAACTTTAAGTCTGACCACAAATCATAATTCACATCACCCAAACCTCAGGACAATTTTATAATAAGTTGTACAGTTTGCAATGTTTTAACTGGTTGGAGAGATTATGCCAGGGAAGAAGCAGTTTGCCAGTACAT